AGGCTATTCCCTTGCCTCAGCCTCCCAAGTAACTGGGACTACAGGTGCCTGCCACAATGCCCAGATATATTTTTGTTGCAGTTTGACCGGGTCTAAGTTCAAACCTCCTACCCTTAGTATATGGGGCCGGGACCCTACTCACAGAGCCATAGGCGCTGCCCTCAAAAGGCTTTTATATTGATAAAGTTTTGTTACTTTATGCATGTGTAATGAATTATCAGGATTATTTAATATTTAATATTATAGTGATAATAATTACTACTGAATTCTGAAATTTACCTTCAAATATAGCTGTGGTGTACATTTGTTTTATTACTTTTATAAAAGTTGCATATGTATAATGCTGTTATTTGTACTGGGTTACTATATACTATGCTACTATGTGTATTATATTATATACAGATGTATATTTATAATTTTTTTAAATAGGTTATCAGGACACCCCATGGGAGAGACTTTGATGACTCTTTGGAAAGATGTGATGAATATTTGAGCCCAAGAGCCTGCGGCAAGTCCCAGCATTCAGCAAGAAACTTACTAGTCCATTCAGCACCCTCAACAATGCCGAAGCATTCTCCAAGCCCTGTGTTAAATAGAGCTTCTCTCAGGGAAAGGTAAGTAGTCTCTATTTCTGTACTAATCTTTTGAATAATCAGCATTAGAAAGAGGAAGACAGCACTTATGTATACAGACTGATTATTTGTAAAAGAATAATTTTAAGAGGTTTTTTAAAATTGTTTTTGTTTAGAATATGTTATATATTGTATAGTGTTAGATATTCCTCACTAGCTTTGTTGTCTAGAAATGAGTTTATTAACTAGATACAGGTCGCGCTAGCCTTAATTAAATACTGTAGTTCTTAGAAAAGGAAAAGTACCATATATGATAGTTTATTTTAGTAGACTCATAGGGATTTAGTGTTATAGGCATGCCTTAAGTAAAAAAATAGTATAGGTTATATTTTCCATGTTGTGATAATGGTGATTTATGTATTGGTAAATGGTATTTAGTTTCCTCGTAGCCTTCCTTCAACTCTCCAACAGTATCTTAATCATGTAAAGATTCTAGCTCTTCCTCTCACAATATTTTGGCA